TTTTGAGAGAGTCATGTCAGACGGATTTTTTTAATGTTTGAAAGGAACACATTTGAAATAAAATTAAATGAAAAATAATTTTTATTCTGGGACTAAAGTTTCCCTAGAATAATAGCAGAGTTAAAAAAATATATACATCGGTCTGGCATGTAGATATAATACAAATATATACAAAAAATACTAACAAAAATACAACTATACACAAAAATACTAAGAAGTAAATTGAGTGTGTAATAGTTGGTGGAATAGGTGTTGTTTGAAGGACTTTGTGGACGTGGTTTGACGAAAAAGGATAGATAAAGAGTTCCAAAAGGAGGTAGCACAAATGTCGAAGGATTTACAGAAGGAAGTGGTTTTATGGAGTTGAGAGGGTGAACAGAGTAAAATAAGGAGTTCTAGGATGTAGGGAGGATTTTGGGTTCTGAAGACTTGGAAAAGGAAAATACCACGAAGGAATTGCCGTCGGGAAGTAGGATAGACCCAGTTCAACCCTGTACATAAGCTGCAAACATCAAAAATCCTGCAAATTTCTGTTTTATATTCTTAGGTATGCAGTGGGTATAAAAAATTCCACGTTTTCGCCTTTGAAAGCATTGTGGGTTCGCTGCAATGATCAAAAAACCATTGAAATTTCGAACTTTCTTTGGTTTATTCTTAATATCTTCATTGATAGATAAAAAATGGTTATTTTCAATCTTAAACATCTTAAAATTATCTGACATTTTTGTACATAACATTTTTTTGTAAACCCAACAGGAAACGAACTATCGAGATATTAAAATGTATAAAGTTTAAAAAAAAATAAAAACAATTCAATTATTGTATTAATATTTGTTCGCTAATACGATCATTATAGCACTATAACTATGTCACTTATGAGTACTAAATGATGTGGCAGAGAATGTTAAAAGTAATTTTATTAATATCGATCATATGTTATATCGATTATATGAATTTAAAAAAAAGAAAATACATAAAACACATGTTTTAAGTTATAACCCTGTTCTTTCTACGAAGTTGTGTTGTTAGTTTAATAAAGATTGATTTCGCTTATTTTAAAAAAAGGCTTGTGGTTTATTCAATGTTATACACTTAATAAGAAAACCCATTAACCATTAATAAAATCAACAGAGAACTCTCAGACGCCTATACCAGTGTCGCTTTTCCGCCGATTAAGTGTATTTTCTAAATAACTGCTTTAAATATTTTAAAAAGATCAGCGTTTTAATAAAAAAAAATGTATTTCCAAATGTTTTATTTCACAGAGTTTTTCGTTATTGTTTACCGTTTATTTAAAAAAAAACGATCAATTTTAAACTTTAGTTTGAACGAATTAAAAAACTTGATTTTACTGGTGTGTTTTATCGCCAAGGCAAATCATTTTGATTTTTTAAATGTTTTATTATTTTCTAACTATTTAAACTTAATAAAAGGTTAATTATGACGAAATTAAACCAAATACCGAATCTCTGTGATCGAAAAACTAACTCAAAGTCAATGACGTCAATCTGCCTTGTTTGAACGCCATTTTGAGTCAGTGCGCCTACTTTTTTTCATGGGTACACCGGCTTTTTTTTATTAAATAGTTACAACGAACACAACTATATACAATATATTGGGATGTAGGGGAATGCGTGTAACATACTTATCAAAACACCTCCCGACTACTGTCTACCATTCCAGTCCATGGTCCATTACCTTCAAGAAAAATATCCTAATTCCCTGGATCAGATTCAAAATGGAGTTACAGAATTCTTCTGTTCAAAACTGAAACAGGAGTATTGTGAAGAAATCGAAATGGGTAAATTTTGAAAGCTCGATAGTTCGCTTCCTGTTGGGTTTAGAAAAAAAATCTTATGTACAAAAATGTTAAGTAATTTTTAAGTCGTTCAAGATTGAATATAACCATTTTTTTATCTACGTTGCACTAAAAAGCAGATATTAAGCGTAAACTAAAAAAAAAATTAGAAATTTCAATGGGTTTTGGAGTACTGCAGCAAACCCACCCACAAGGCTTTTAACGGCGAAAACTTGGAGTTTTTATATTCACTGCATACCTAACCATATAAAAAAGATAAAAAAGTGTAAGTGTTTATGATCTGCAATTTTTCTTATTCTAATATCGCTTGCTCTGTTTTTAAGAAGAGGAGAGAGATAAAATATCTTACGAATGATGTTATATATTCAAACTATAAGTACTAGTAGATATATTTTATACAGGCTTTATTTTATTCTATTTATTTTTTCAGCGGTAATATTGATAAGAGAATTCGCCATTGACTGAAATCCATGCGAGGAAGGTGGAATTAAAAAAAAATACTAGAAACCATGAATAATACAATTAAATGTTCGATGTCTAAGAATAAAAATTAGTAATTAAGATAAGTCTATATCAATTAGTAAATATTTTAATGAAAGACTTAGGAAAACTAAACAAGATGAGATATCAATATGTCAACATGATTTATTTGTAGAATTAAGGGGTAGGGAACAACATCAAAGTAGGCGATAACAATGATTTAAAAATGTTTACGAAATATCATTATTAACAATTTATGAATTAAGAAATTATTTAAAAACATTTATCTCCTGCAACAACGTCATTACTCGACATTCAAGATATTTTAGAAAATGTATTTTAAATTATAAATATTGTATAAAATTTCTATGAAAGTATAATACAGAATAAAATAAAAATGGCACAATTAACCTTGAACGCTGAGAAATTATACTCTACTAGTTAAAAGTTTACATCATTCTAATCGTCACCTTATCATTGACTCAAAAATCACAATTTTCGAATTATGACGTTGCAGCAAACGTGCGATATGTATGTCGTATGTTAAATTCCTAACCTCACTTCATATTATCTTCAACAACAAACAGATTAATATTATATTATGATATTTGAACACTATTAAAACGGACGAAACATTGGATTAATTTATCAATAGTATAAATAAATATATAAATACATTTATTTATAAATCATTTTATAATACTTATCATGGATTTATTGCAAAATTCATTAATTGGCATTAATTTCATAACCTCAAATAACTAAGAACTTGGATGAATTTAAACTTTCTGAAATCAAAATGCTGTCCATTTGTTTTAGCTATATATTTTTTTTTTATTTAGAAAATAATTAATAATAATAATAATCGACATTTACGAAAATGTCTTAGTTCAGTTCCATCAAAAATGTACTTGGTGAGTTTTTGCAATACATCGATGATATTTTATACATATACAGTAAATATGGAATAATAACTTAATATATACATTTGCACTAGCATATCCAGGATTTCATTTTGGGGGGGCTTCAGCCCGAAAGCCCTTCTCCCCCTGTAGATCCGCTTATGTATATTTGTACATACGAGGGATTTAAACTAAGCTTTATCTAAACAATTTTTGGTGGAGGGGAGTGTAAATAAAAATTTCTCGAATTGTAAATAATTATAAATACATCCATTAATAGTTATAAGTCTTTTATTCATTTCTTGGAGCACCAATAATCCATAACCCCTCCCCCCCTCCTCCCAATGATAAACTTATTCATTGGTCCATATTTGTTATTGTGGGTGATAAATATTACAACAATAGCAATGTTTTTTATTATTTAAATTACAATACATGAACAGCTACTAAATAAAACATGTCTTATGAACATAAATATTAAAATTTATCTCTAAAATTACTATTGTCCGTATAATTAAATTTTTATAGAAAATTATCGTTATATAAATAAAAAATAGATTTTTTTTTTTATTTATAAAGTCCCTCTCCCTAAAAAAATATAATCTTCAATCTGTTACTGATTCTAAGGATAATTAAAGCAATGCAAGAAAAGATTATATTATATTGAAATCAGTTTTGAAATTAATTTAATGCTAAGAATTATTTAATGTAATATGAAATCACCACATTATTGTAAACATATTTTCCTAATAATTCTTATCAAAAGATTGAACTTTTATAAAACTTCTTATTAGCATTTCAGTAATGTAGTAAAAATTAATAATTTAGAAATATACATTAAAACATAGAAATACTTAAAAACCTTAAGATATAGAGATAAATTGAAAGAAAGATAGAAGGAAGAGCCGGCAGGGAAGTTGCATAGGTTATAGCGGAAGGAAGGTTAGCCATCCTTCAGCTCCCAGGTTTACCGCCCGATAATTCTGGTGTTTTCTTATCACTTCTTGAAACAGTTTGATATCGATCAAGAAGGAATAAGGTGACTTCTAATTTTCACTAAAATTTATTCAAGCAACACAAATAATCGATAGTTTAAATGGTGAAGATGGTATATAACAGAAAGTATCAGTGATGAACCGAATATACTGCTCTCAAAATAAGGTTCTTTATCTGTGTCACTACTCTTTGAATAAAACATTTTCCTTTGTATGCACTACGAGCTCTTTAATTTTTCTCAGAGGATATCGGAGGACATGTGCACGTGTGCGTATGGAACAATGAAATTACTCTAGTACAAAATAATTATTTATATTATTTTTTTTTATTAGTGCATTCGTAATAAGTGATGAAATGTGATCCTGTAATACTTTTAAAAATTAAATGAATAGTAATTAAGATCAAATTGATTAAAGATAACGTATCATAAAGGATCATGTATGTATATAAAAAGAATTATCGTATGGATTAACGAAGACGGTATGTTGACATTGATAACATAGTTTTTTCTTGTTTGATATATATAAGAACAGTAGTGAGGTTATAACTTGGGAAGAAGAGCTCGTGATAAAACGGAAGGGTTGCTAAGAGAATGGCAATCTATCTAGGCCATGCCCAGAGCCAGACTATTTCGAGCGCTGATGGCCGCCATGTTGCCGAAGAGTGCTATCTCTGTAGCTCCAAGCTAATTATGTAAGAGGAGGGCCGTCCTATCCGGGGGCCGCGGAGGCAGAAGAAAAGAAACTAAGACAAAGAGCTAATAGATAAGGTTAAGAACTAGTTGCTAATGAAGATGCGATTACCTGGAACCTCCTTGAGCGGAGAGCAGACAGAACCCTGCTACCTCTATGGAACACTACCACTCTGTACAGGCCGACCTCCTGAGCGCTACTGGCCCAGCCCGTCCCCCGCCACTTCTGTCTCCTCCTCCACCTCGCAGGCCGCTCCTCGTCGCTAAATATATCTTCCTCTTATCGCCTCTTCTTCGGGCATCCTCTGCTCGAGGTTTACGGCCAACGTCTCTTCATTCTTCAATAACCTCCTCCGGGATAAGTCCTCAATCTCTTCTGAATGTCTTATTACCATTCAGCCATTGTGAACGGAATGGCTCCCGAAGCGTGACCTCCGGAGAGGCGTAACCACTTCCAACGCATAGGAGTTAATAACGCCAAGGCGTTAACTTTGGGCGGTGAATGTCAAAGTATGTCGCAATATCTGAAATATAAAAATAATAATTTAAAGAGTACTGAACCTTTTTCTAATTGAAGCACACTCATTGGTTATTAGAAGTGTCCGTGAAATATGAAATAATAACAACGTTTTCAGATTAAAAAAATAAAATAAATAATAGAGGAAGGATTAAAAATTAAATAAAATTTTAGTTGTTTGGCAATAATAACTTCCAATTGGAAACAATTGAGTATATTTTTATTATCAACATTACATGTTAACAAGTTAGTTGACGTTTCGGGATATTTATTCCCATCTTCGGAACTGCAATCCCAATACTCTTGTGGATGCAAGGCTAAATTTTTTTTTGAGCTATATATTGTGCTTGTTACATTACATATTTGAATTTTGTTGTTACAATAAATTTGTAATTACCTTAAATTTAATAATAATAATGTGCTCCCTCTTCAAATTTCTAATTCATGTTCTAAAATGTATCATCTAGAGCAACATCCTCCTTTTGACTAATAATTGGGTATCAGCCATAGTGAAAAAATTGACCTTTGGATCTGACTGTTTTATCTGACTATTTTTATTGTTGTTGTTAATGTTTATTTTATGTGTCTGTGATTTCACTTCTATTAAATTTTAATTTTGTTCAATATGTCCGTGTAATGGGTTCCTAAATTTTTAGTGTCTGTTTTGTAGTTCACTGTTGTTCTGTTGTTTTTTGTAATGTGTATTGCTTCAAGTAATTTTCTATTGTTTTTTTTTGGTTCTGTGAATATTATCTGTGGTTTGTTAAAGTTAAATTTATGCTGTAGTTTTATACTGTTATGTGCTAAGGCTGTTATAATGAAACAAGCACAATACTATAACTAAAAAAAAAAAAAATAAAAAAAAATAAAAAATATTTAGCCTTGCATCCACAAGAGTATTGGGATTGCAGTTTCGAAGATGGGAATAAATATCCCGAAACGTCAACTAACTTGTTAACATGTAACGTTGATAATAAAAATATGCTCAATTGTTACCAATTGGAAGTTATTATTGCCAAACAACTAAAATAAATAGACAACTTCCCAGAAAAAAAGATTAAATAAAATTATCTATATTTATATTATTTTATAAACTAAAATAATATCCTTAAAATGCCCTCGGGCAGTGGAAGGAATTTATTACATGTATATATTGTATTATTGTATACTATATATGTAAATTGTTTCAATAAACATTTTGGAGGGTAACAAAAAAAAAAAAAAAATATTGCGAAACCATTTTTTTTTTAAACTAAAATAATTAGAACATAATGTGATAAATTATTATTTATTAGTTATACATATTCCTGGCTCATAATAAATTTGCCATCTACCTCAGTATTCAGCAAATATGATATCAAGGACAAGAATAAAATATTTTACAGCGAAATGCATAGGCTGAGGAAGAGGTGTGTAATGGATTGGTAACTTGGACTCTAGAATTATTTTACATAATTATCATTTAAGCTTATCTCTACAAATTCCAAAATTTTATTTTTTCCAGTTTGAACAGTCAATAAACAAATTAGAAGTAATTGAAAACGACATAAATGAATTGAAAAATCAAGCTGATCAGGTAAAATATTTGGATGTGTTTTCAAGGAAACAATTGTTTGTATTAGTTCTGAGTTTTATCTTTAAGTTGTATCAAATTGGATAGACATGCTGATTTAAAAACTGCAGATGGTTTTCTTCAAATGTGATAAATAAAAACGGAAAATAACAATTTATATTTATTAATTATTAAAAAGATTATATGAAATACTTTTTAAAGGCTAAAATATCAAAATATTATAAAGTTCCTCTTAGTAACAAATAAAATAGTTATAGGAAATTGTTTATAATAATATCGACAATATTTACTATAGTGCCATCTTTCAGTCTCCACATGACGTCGATTCCAGTGACGCGACTGGTAAGGAGGAGCTGGGATCTTCTGAAGTCTTGCTTCGTCTTTCGTAAGTGAAAGACAAATCCTGGCCTAGAGTCTCTTGGGCGAATGTAAATATATAGAAAAGTATGAATGAATTTTAGTTGTCTATTGTTTTTATTCATGTATATTTTTGGTTTATTATTTTCAATAACCAACCATTGTGATCGACCAAAAAATTCAAAAACTTAACCCTCTCTCAAAATTTGAGGTTTCACGTTTCAGGATGAGTAGAATTCGAAAAACGAATACATTTTTTTTTGTCAGAGGTCACCCGAGGATGATTCTCCTTCATAGGCATTACTATCCGCCTTTTACTTTCAAAATGGCGACCGAAAAATCTGCATTGCTATAGACTGTAGCGCCTAAACGAATGTACCGATTTCAATGAAACTTCGCTAGTCATTTTCTCTACGCCCTTTAAATTTATCTATATAACATACTTCAACGAAAAGAAGCTTGAAAAAAGTTACGAGGGATGGTAAAATTAAATGCCGAATAACTCGAAAAGTTTATACTTTTTTGTTGATATTGTACGTTTTTTTAAAAGTTTACGGAATTTCCCAAAAAAATCATTAAAATCGGACAATTATGAGCAAAGATATGGTCTCCGGTTTTTTAAATATGTTCTACTCCAAATGTTATATCCTTGGTTTAGTTTTTAAATTTTGAATGTGTTACTGAAGTAATGCTATTTTTTTTTAGCATATTACTAATGATTAAAAAAAGTTCAGTCCAATAATTGGAATCACCTTTTGTTTATTGAAGGTAATGTTACTTTAGATGTATAATTGTTTGGAAATAATAAACCATTGTGGAATAATTTGCAGCTTTTTTTATTTGCATTCAACTTTAATTTACTATGTTATCTATTGATCTTAATACATATTGTCCGTGGGTGTGGCAGAATGTATTGTTATTCAATAAAAAATATACATAGATTAAAACAAAAAGTTGATATTTAAAAAAAAAATGTTAAAAAATGAATATGAAGAAAAGTCAAAACAATTAGTTAATAACATAATGTGAAATGACAAGAAAACTTTTTTTTTTCTATTTCAATTCTTTATTGAGAAATATTATAATCTATCACATGTAAGGACAATAATAATGATAAAAGAGTAGCTCATTCACAATCTAGGTACAATGTATAAAAATAAATACAGCAAATTAACAATACTAAAAGTAAATGTTGCTTAGTAAATTAATAATTTAGTAAATATGCTTTTATAGAATATTTACAAAATTCATTCATTCAAGATCTCCGAGCCAAGCATTTCCTCCCAAATCGTTGTAGGAAAAACAGGACTCTAGGAGTTCCCATTGCACAATTGAGGCCATAGCTGATAAAATTCATTGAGCATAAGTTTAGATTGGGAATTCGTCACGAATAAGTACAATAAAACTTTTATAGTCGTAATTAAGTTAACATAATTTAAATTTAATTTAAAAAAAATTAAAATCGTAATTACTAACAATTAATAAAAAACTAAAAATAATATTAATAAAAAGAAAACCAGTACGGCAGTATTCAAATTTATTTATTCTATTTCCTCATCCTTTTAATCAACAGCTCACTCTCTGGCTTAAGTCTCTTATAATCGCTTCCTAACTGCAATTTAAATTTCCCATTTATTTGCTTAGCTTTTCTCTTTTCTTATCTACACAGTCTGAAAATATTTTCGTTCTTGAAAAATCGATAATCCGTGAAAAGGTGCTCCCTCAAAATTTTGTTGACCCAATTTGCACTATGCAGGCCCCTTCTGGGCCCCCCCTCCTATATTATATCATTTAATTTCCGCTCATTAGTTTTTTTAAGTAAACGAAAAACATTATTCGGTCTTCCTGTTTCCTCGAAAGCTCCAGAAGACTGGTAGTTGTTATCAGGTCTAGAAAATATGTTACAGCTGACACATCTCTAATAAAAAAAAAAAAAAAACCATTTCTGAGCATTTTTCCATAGCTCATTTATTTTTTATGTAAATAGTCTAATACATAATTCATTAAATAATAATTCATAACGTTTTCATAAGATTAAAAAAATTGTATTCCAAAACTTTTGTTTTCTGAAAGAATTAAATAAAAACTGTGTATAGGGCAAAGCTGAGCAAAATTTGTTGATTATTGCTTAAAAGAGTATAAAAAATGGGGGAGAAATATAAAAGTGACTATATAAGTGTTATTTATGTATTTCAAAGAATTGATCTCAGTATTTTTTTTTTTTTTTTTATGTAACCAATATCGAACTGGTTGAACCTAGATTATTCAGTGAAAAATAATGATAATTAATTAAATTATCAAAAGCTGTGTTAAGCAATAACGTAGACAGGCATTTATTTAGATTATAAATGAAGTAACGTTGGAATTATTTGTCAACTGGTGGGACTGAAGGCATGTTTGCTCAAACCTCTCTTTTCTTTACTCTACTGTGAGAGTCTAAACGAACTTTGAAACTTTACTAGGCCACTTTTTAAGTCACCAACTATCTATAAAAAGGACGATATATTGCATTTCTCTTATTTTGAAAGTTGTTTTAGTCCTCCTAGATCGGCCCTCAGCACTAGCAAATCCAAGATATAATTTTGGGGGGGGGGCTTCAGCCTGAAAGATTTTTTTTCATACACAAATAACGATAATTACTTTGAAAAAAAAAGAAAGAAATTAACTACCTATATGAGATAGTGTTTAAGTGGTTCTTGAAGTCCTATTCAATGTAATTACAAGAACAAGAATAAATTAAGAGATA